GGACCTCTTCCAAACGCCATACATGTATTTATTTCTGAAATTGATGATCTATGATGGTTGTCATTTGATACATAACGATTAATGCCGTCGATAATTGATTCACTTTTCATAGATTCCACTATGTCAAAAGTTTGAATTTCAAGTACATGTGTATCGTGAAAAAAATTGGAACATTGTGTCAAATTTTTATTGCCTTCTGTGTAATAAATTTCGCGAAAAATAGCTTGAAGAGCAGGATAGTGATGAGCAGTTGTCATGATTGCGTATCTCATAACATTCGAGTCACATGATACTTTCCGTATGAGATCAGTGTCATCAAATATTAATTCCATCATAAGGTTAGACATAATCTCGCCAATTTCCAGAGCTGGTGTAATAAAAAACTCCATAGCAACTACCGTACACATTTCTTGTGCCGTAAGTTTAAACTTTTTGTGAAGTATGAATATTTCTGGATGATGCCGAATTTGTTCCATAAATGAAAGCCATAAGTCTATTCGCTTTGACCAATCGGGGTCAATGTTGTATGTGAAAGCTGTACTTATTGCTTCAGTCAATTCGCTAATAGTTTGAAGATCTGATTCACTTGCTTCTAAGTCGAACACTAATTCCCACATAATAGCACATATAATATATCGTAGTTTTTTATCCGAGACTTTTAGCTGCTGTCCTTGATGTAAGAGCAGTTCACGAGCAAGTATTACAGAGTATTTAGAAGCAATCTGTTCCGAGCGTAAGATGAGTTTTTTGCGATTTAGAATATAAGTGAAGCACGCATAAATACGATTCCAACTTTCAGATTTAGTGCCTGTCAAATCCAAAGGAAGCAAAGGAAATACAAAACTAGCAAAAAAATAAAACGAACGATTAGGACGAGTGGATAAAGATAAGAATTGTGCCACAAGTTCCATGTCAAAATGTTTGGTATTATTACAATTCCTTTTCGTAGTATATGTAATTTTATGACATCCCAAGGGAGCAAATTCAAATTTGGACCGATGGAAAACTTTTGCAATTATTAGTCTTGAATACCAAAATATTCGAAAGATGAGGTCCAAAAATCCAAGTTGAATTTTAGGTACTAGTCGTGGATTAAAGTTCCAAGATGCTACTAGCAATAACCAAAGCCCTAACCATAATATAGTAACGATAAAAGATATTTTCATGACCGTATAAATCATTGGTATAGAAAATATTGGAATCGTCATTAAATAAGCTCCAAATGAGAATATAGATAAACACATGATGTTTTATCTATGAAAAGAAAGTCTGAATCTAAAAAACAGTTTATAAGTGCAGTTACTAACGGGATCAATATGTGAAACAGGGATTTAGGCTTCTGTTTGTATAGATACAGTAAAAACATTGGCATCATTCTATTAAGTTTTATATAACCTGGTGCTAACCATACATCAACCTCTTCCTCTTCACTCAAAAACTTCTTGCAGAAGTCATAGAAGGAGACTCTTTAGTTCTAATTAACTCATCAAACTTTTACAACTTGTAGGATTGGTTTATCACACAAAACTGCCAGATTTGCAGCCTTTCGAGTCGAAAAATTGTATTCAACAAGATCGAAGTTCTTCGAAAAGGTTGATATTCTTTTAAAACATTATTGAAAACGCTAAAATCTATTGCGATTTTGATGAAATTTTGGAATCGAAATCTATGAAAAACATGAAACATATCAGAGAAGCCTTTAAAAAATTTTATATTGTTACATAATCGAAGACATTAAGTCTTTTGTAATAAAAAAAAAACAAAGACTCAATGAAAAACTTTTTTTTGAACTGTTCAACTATTTTAATTTATAATAGTTCCTTGACATCATCCGGAATAGTTGATAGTTTGATACAAAACTTAGGTATCTTAAAAGATTCTGCAGTTCTGCTTAAACTATAAAAAGAACCTTCTGGCCTTAAAATTTTTTGAAAGAAGCGAAACACATGAGAAAACGTGATCAATTCAAGTCTGTCTGCAATATAGTTTGAAACTTTAATGATATCGTGAGACGCTGCAATTATTCTGAGAACTAGGATACTTTTAATTTTGTTGCTTTAGCTAAGTGTAACAACCGAGCATAATGTGTAAGTTGTTGCTTCTCCTCGATTGAAACAAGTGCGATGCGCTTCTCTATCTATTACCTATCTACACTTCTATTACTAGTTTGTCCTTGTCTCGTGCATAATAGAAATAGTCGCAATATCCTTTCCTGTTCGTTCTTCTTCTATTTGTACTTTGGAATGCCACGCTTAATGTATCCTCGCCTCGTACATAGTGTTATCCATAAAAGGAATAACCACAACATCTTTTCTATCCACTACGCTTATCTCTCGTACCTGTACTTTGGAACCACACTCTGAACGTGTCGTTCTTTCATAGTGTTAACCATAATCGTTCTAACCTTTGTACTTGTCCTTAAACCCATATTTTTCTGTATTGTGTTTACTGTATTCTTCAAGGTCCTTCTATGCTAAGAAATAGTATATAAGGAGCGGGAAAAATACAGTAGAAGCACGATTTTACTTACACTAATAAAGTATTAGGATAACAGCTCTCGAGCTGTGCCTACTCTATCTAAAATCGTCACACTAAGAACGAAAACAGCTTTGAATGATTTTTGAGCCAAAAACAAAAACAGCACTGATCATCTTATATAAATATAATATTGAGCATAGCAATTAAGAGATCTATTGTCCATTTCAGAGTTAAATGGCCATGGGCATTTTTTGAATAACTTTAAAATAGAAAGAGAGAGATAATCTGAATTTTTTGTGGTATCTAAAGTTGATACTGCTCTATCTTTTTACAAAGTCGATGAAAAATTTCAGTCGCTTTTCTTCGTGGATACGTCATAAATTTTGAAGATGAGCTTAATTCGCTTTGAAAACAACATGCTTTCTGAACCATAATATAATGAGCAGATAGTCTAACTTCTCCTCTCTCGATCCATACAAGATCGAAATCGATAACTGTTTGTATTCAAAAGATATAAAGACTCTTCTGAAGGTTACTCACGAAATTGTTTCAAAATCATAGTAGTTATCACATATGCTTTCTATAAGTTTTCAGTGATCTTCGACTTCGTGACATGATTTATAAACCTTTGGAGTTTTCTTTTCTACGAAAAGTATCACCGAATAGCATTCATTGCATTTTAGTGTGTTGGTGTAGAGCGTAGGAGTGGTGTGGGAATGAATGTGAGCATCGATATTGTTTTTATTTTCCGCCGCCGTTCCATCCAAATCTCTTTAGAGAGACAGTGTGCCTTGAATTCTATAGAGTTAGCCAGGACTAATATGAAAACATATATACACGATAGAAACACCAAGTTTATTTTAACTGAAGTGAGAAAACTGCTATAAGAAAGATTTATGGCTTAAGTGCAACGGAAGCAACCAGTTACATCAGTCACATCGAACAACATGACACAATGTTTAAGAAAGCCGATATTTATATTAAAGAGTTGAAAGAGGAGCTAAATGATCATGATGATGATTATAGTACTTATAGTACAAATGATGCTAATGATTGATGACTTTTATGATGAATTTGCGTAAACATCTTAGAATTCTTTTGAGTTGACCGGTTTGGATTCAGGGACTAACCCAATGAGAACAGCAATAAAATAAAGGTTGCAGAGAAGGCTGTGGGTGTGGGTGTGGGTGTGTGTGGGTGTGGGTGTGTGTGGGTGTGTGTGGGTGTGGGTGTGGGTGGGTGGGTGTGGGTGTGGGTGAATGTGACTGGAGGTGTATAGTGTGGATGTGTGTGGGTGTGGATGTTGTCCTATTCCTAATCTGCAATCATACGCACACCCATACGCCTACCCACACCCACACCCACACCCACACCCACACCCACCCCCACCCCCCCCACCCCCACACCCACACCCACCCACACCCACATCCACACCTTGTTTGAACAGATGAATAAAATAAAAACAAAACTATTATAGAAAATTTAAAAATAATTAAACAAATAAATGGAAAAGAAAAGTTCATTAATCTATTTTCATTGGTCAATATAATAAACCGATCGTTTTCTTTTCTATTGGAAACCTAAAACTAGATGTCTGGACTATTTTGTTTCATGATATCTATGCTCTTTGACATTTTCTTATTAAATAATCAATTTGCAACAGCATTTATTTGTAAAAAAACAAAAACAGAACAATAAATTTTAACTTAATTTAATTTAATAATCGAATAAAAGCTAAATAATTATCTATTTTTGTATTATATTAATAATCATATAATAACATCAACAATAATATTTTATGAATAAAAAGCAAAAGAAATTAAAAATCTGAAATAAGTCTTTGCTTCAAATTGCAGATGTTCAAGATTTTGCTGAATATTTCCTGAAATTTCAATAGTTTCTTGTGCTTTTTTAACATTTTATTTTAATTCTTCCAATTTATAAATAATGTCTAAAAGATCTTTTGAAGAAATTCTTTTTCTCACGTGCAATAGAGCTTTTTTCCTACTTAGATAAATCGTATCTCTTCCTTTTTAAATATGTTGTTTTCTTCTTTCCTATTAAATATAAAATAATTTTCTTGTTTCTTTCTTCTTTATTTTACTATGTTCATGATAGGAATATGAGAAATTATACGAACAGAAAAAAGAAAAAATAAACGAGAACAGAAAAAAAAACATTACAAGAGAAAAAATTGAATAAGTTTTTCTTCTTATTATTTTAAAGTTTATTGAAGTAATAAATAATAAAAATAATTAATCAATTTGTGCACTAGGAAAATATCGTTTTAATATTGGAACAGATATTACATCATTATTAAAAAATCTAAGAAGAATGATCTTTGAACGATTAACCCTTTCAATCCCGTCATTTTCTTGCGTTCTGCACGAACATGAAAAAGATAGTTTAATCTCTCTCTCCTGTGTTCAGCTATCACAATCATATGTTTTCGAATTCTAGATTCATTATTCGTATCCATACGAAGTGATTTTCATTTGAACATATCATATGATATTCGTCGTCTAAGAAGACAAAAGAATGCAAAATATTTCTTTTTCGTTCTGCATCTCATCTCGTAGATACCATGCGGGATTGAAAGGGTTAAATTGAGTTTCTTCTTTTGTAAAATCATTTGTTGCCATTTTTAAAGTATTATAATCTACAGTAAGATGAATATTTTTTAAAAAACATGTTTTACAATGATTTAAAAATTCATCAATATAAGTTTCATGACTATGAATGAGATCAAGTTCAGTAAGATAAGGATATACTACAATTAATGATTGTAAATTATCATTCTCTTGTGCTTCATAATTATGTAAACGTAATTTTTCCAGATATGGAAATGATTGAGTAATTCGACAAAAAAATTCATGTTTAAATGGATGTCCATCACATAATGATATTTCTCTAACACATCGATATAAACCACCAGGAAAATTATTTGTTATATCATCATAGAAAGTCCATTTATATGGATATGAATAAATATGATAATGAGATAAATTTCCTTTTTGAAAATAATCAACATATGAAACAATTCGATTGTTTTTAAAATTTCGAAATGTATCTTGAATATCAGCATTTGTTAATTGACTAAGTTGATTATTAAGACGAAGACATGAACGAATATTAAACGAAAATTTATTTAATTTTGACATATAATTAATAATATTTTCTTTTAAATCATTACCATCAATTATTGGTACAAAAGGAGCGAAAAAACACAAATTAAGTTCTTCTAAATTTGACATTTTTTGTAAAAGTGGAATAAGAAATTCCTTATACTTCCCCAAATCATCGTCATGAATTAATGAAAAATATTTTAAGTTAGGTACTTTCTGTTAAAAAAAACAAGAATTAATAAATATTCGTACATATTATTTATTCATAGAAAAACGATCAATATATGTAACTTACATTGTTATTGACGACTAATGACCAATCAGGACAATGACGAGGATAAATCGTGACATCCAATGTATGAAGTTGATTCAAATGATCAAGTAAATAAAGACAATCCATAATACTGTCTAATGTAACATGTAATTCTAACAGATTCGAAGAGAATTCAATAGAAGATAATCTAGTAAACGTTAACTGTTCATAATCCGAAGATGATTTGAAATTAAAATATTTTAAATTTTTGAACATATTACAGATTTTCCCAAATATATATGTATTTATATTTTTAACACCAAAAGCATTTCTTCGTAATGCACCTTCTTTCATATAAAGAATAAGTGAGAATATTTGAAATTGATAATGACGAATGAAATAGCTTTGATCTAAATAAACATTTAAATTATTTTTTATATTTATTTATTAAGTTAAGAAATAAATTTTATTCTATATTTTATATAAATAAATAAATAAATATGAAATAATTTTCATTGAAATTCTCAAATATATTAGTAGAATTTACAAAATTCATATTGGATTTTTTATTTTAATTTTCTATGTTCTAGGAATTAAACAATTTTAATTTAAGTTATTATGAAAGAATATCTATATTTAGTTCTTTTTTTTTTGTTAATTCAAATTTTTTATTTCTTCATTGTAAATATTTTTCAATTAATATTAAAAAAAACAAAATTATTTTTGATAATAGTAAATGTCAATGTAACAATGAAATTCTAATTATATAAAATATTTATTGAGATAGACTATTATCTTATATAAATAATTATTGAAAGATTAGAATAAAGTATCTTACCACAAAGGAGATCATTAAATGTTTCTGGATGAAGATTATATAAAGTAAGTGTACGTAAATTAGGATAATTTGTTAACCAAAGAATACGTTCCATACATGATGAATCAATAGTAAGTTGTTTAATTTTTTCATTAATATTTGGTAAAATTTCAAGACAAAATCGATTTAGTCTTGCATCATCAAATTCATATGATATGCCATCAAAAGATTTTATTAATGATAGATTTCGTGTAAAAATTTTATAATATCTATTTGTACGAAATTCTTTTTTAACAAGTGATATAAATGTTAAATTACTTGTAAAAATCGAATCATTTGCAATTCTATGAAGTCGTTTATTAACGCCTATTAAAGAATAAAGTACTTCAGAGGTATGTAATTTTTTCAAAATAATTATAATAATTTCATCAGGCAAATCATTGAGTTGAATAGATGAATATTCCATGTTTATTTATATCGATTTATTTTTTCCTTTATTTTATAATGTATACGTCGTGCCGAAGTTATAACTTCGACAAAATTTTTGCCGAAGTTACAACTTCGACGGACGATGTTGCCGAAGTTATAACTTCGTCAATCTGTTTCGTCGAAGTTTAACTCCGACAAACATATTTTGACGAAGTTAGTGTGAATGATAAAATAAATATCAACTTTCAAGAAATCAACAATATCTTTCATGTTGTATCTTAAAAATTATTTTTTTCCATTAAAACAATAATACAAAATTTATTTTTCAATATTATGACAAATATACCAGCGTTTCAGCAAGAATGAATATTCATTCGACTTGTACTTTTACGTATTTACTGCGATACAGATGAAAAGGAGTTTGGTAGATAGTAAAGATACAACAATCTTCTATGAAACTCTAAGATTATATAATATATTAATAATTTCAACGCAGAAAAAAATTAACATATTGTTCCTTTTATTCGTCTGAATATTCGCATGTTTGTCATAATATTGAAAAATAAATTTTATATTATTGTTTTGATGGAAAAAAATATTTTTTAAGATACAACATGAAAGATATTGTTGATTTCTTGAAAGTTGATATTTATTTTATCATGCACACTAACTTCGTCAAAATATGTTTGTCGAAGTTAAACTTCGACGAAACACATTGACGAAGTTATAACTTCGACAAGAATAATCGTCGAAGTTATAACTTCGACAACATCGTCCGTCGAAGTTGTAACTTCGGCAGAAATTTTGTCGAGGGTGTGGGTATGGGTGTGGAGTGTGGGTGTGGGTGTGAGTGTGGGTGTGTGTTTATTTTTTGTTCACCTAGACCTACACCCACACCCACACCCTCAAGTTAAAGTTTAAAGTATGATCACTTTAACTTTAAAAGTTAAAGTGTCACCCCTAATGGTGGTAGTGTTCAATGTAGCCGATGATCTAATTCCACCATCACCAGCCAAGTATCCTCTTCTGATCGACTATGCCGATCAGATAAGTTCAAGTAACAAAGTTCAATCGATATTGACTGTGTTCTTTCTAATCATCTTTGTCTTTATATACATGCTTTGAAAAAATTTTCTTCACTAGTTAACTTTCAATTGTCAAAAGTATGAACTAAGACAATTAAGAAATCTATAGTTTTTCTTTTTCAATACGATGAAAATAAAAGAAATTCCAACAAGCAACTTTTAATTTTAGTGATACGCATAATGAGTCGTCAAGATCCTGAACCAATAGATACCCGAGCCACTCGAAAAGAGATTTTCAGGAACATCCTTCTTTGTTCCCGGACCAATTTTGGCCCAAGTTGAAGTTATCTTTCGGTACCGATCTCGCTTATGTTCAAAACTTTTTATTGGCCCCTGTCGCACTTCAGGCTAAAATTTTCCTTAGTTTCTGGTCTCAAATTTTTTCCTAAAAACAAGTAATTTGTGACAAAATTAAGCCTAACATTTTATATTGCTGCTCCTACTCCGAGATAGTCATAAAGCAGCTTTCGGCAATATAGAGAAGTGCAATAATAACATTTAAGAGCTCGTATAGAACTAGAAACGCAACAATAAAAAAATTGCAACCAAAAGAATGATTAAATTCTATTTGAACTAAACTTATGTGTATTGTACAAATACGCGTATATTAAAATCTATACAAGTGAGTGAAAATAATGATTTTTCAAATTAGAATCGAGACCAGTAAAAGATTTTTATCGAAATGGTAAATAAAAATGTCCGATTTTCAGATTCTTAGTTGCAAAACAATAATAAGCATGAAAACCTATAGTGTAGGTCTTGATACAAAAATTCGTCACGACCAACTTGAAAAATTTTCTGTCTAGCTTCTGGTACTGCTAAAAATAAAAATTTTGATCCCAATTCCAGTCCTGCAGAAGTGCGACCGAGACTATTTTTTTCTCTTCCAGACCCAAACTTTTATCACCAAAGACAAAAGCTTTTGATATTCCATAGAAGCCAACCGTCTTTAATACATACGAAGCCTTTGTCCATACTTCATTCAAAATATGGACATGGTACCTACCAACAAATATAGTAGCATTCTGTCAGTTTAACGAAAACACCAGCCATGATATTCCAAAAAAAGGTATAGCATCTTTCAATGAATTAAACTGGAAAAATTCTTATCCTCTAAAATGTACATATTCACATTAACAACACATCTTATTTCAAACGCGATTCGTCTCCATCACAACATTCTTGCAACGAGACACAAACGTATTTTCTCACTAATTGCTAAACGACAAAGGTCTTTAATTCATTTATATAGAACATAAGCACTCAAAACTGCACCTTTTCATCCACGCATTATTGGAAAAACAGTAACGTCCACAGAGATTTCCCAGGAGGATACTGAAGCAGCAGCCATCGACTGAAGCAAGTATCATCCGGAAGCCAACGTGAGTATTTACTAACATACCTATGAAAGTTGCAGCAGGCAACAAGTATCCACCTTTGTCCGAATTCATGAAATCCTCCCCTCTCGTGGGCGCCCAATATAAAAAAACAACTTTCCAAAAAGAGCCTGCTAGTTCAAATATACTGCTTCTATTTTTGTTAGTCAATGGAACTGCATTAAATACAAATATCAAAAAAGAAATGAATATATGCATATCAAGAAAAAAACAACACACATTTCATAAATAACCAATAAAAATTTAGCCCATTGCGAAGTTTTTGCTTTGTGAGTACGTTCGATTTTTTTGAGCAGAAAATAGTAAAGGTATAAATAGACAAATAAAAAAAATGAAATCCATACCAATGACGCTCCAAAATATCATATTTTGTCTGTTCGCTAGCAACTGTGATGCAGTTACGCCCTAACTGCATCGTCATGCGGTGATAATCGACAACTTGTGATACCACAGTCGGTATTATATTTCAAGAGCACATTCATGCTCAATTGATTCATTCAGGTCGCTTCCTCTTTAAACAAGCTCTTCCTAACCAGTTAAGCCTAAAAATTTCGTAGACGATTATTTGAAACAAGCAAAAGATTCATCCTAAGTGTCTGGATGTCCAAATATGTTTGATCTTCTTCAGTCTATCCACTTTTTGTCCAATCCTGATGGACACTTCTGTCCTCTTTGCTTGAACACCCTTATTTGATGATCCCTAGTGGTAAAAAAGCCAGACGCCTACCGATTCTTACCTCATACGTAACTAGCTTTATTTGGCCTAGGTTTACAGACAAAAAAATAATTTTTCTCGCTGTATCATCTGCGTGTATTGTTTTATACGCAGGATAAATGAAAGGGCCCTGTAGATTGATGCTGAGAGGTAGCTAGCTCTATCTTTTCATAGGTGTACAGAGAAAAAAATATTTTTTCTCGCTGTATGATCTGCCTCTATTGTTTCATAGAGAGGATAAATGAAAGGGTCCTATCGAGTGACGCTTCATAGATACCTGGCTCTATTTACTGGTAGGTTTTAAGAAAATGTCCTTCTCTCTGTAGAATCTGCTTCTAGCGTTCATGAATAGCATAACACATTGGATCAAATCGATTAATACTTCATCGGTAACCGGATTTTTATCTGCATAGGCATCGGAAAAACAGTTTTCTCGTTGTATGATCTGCTGCTATTTTTTCGTAGACAGAATAGAAGAGCAGAGCGTATCGATAAATACTTCACAAGTAACTGGCTTTATCTTTCTTTAGATTTAGAGAAAAGAAGCTTTTTCTGTTGGTATGGGTTGGCTGTATTTTTCATAGATAGGTTATAAGAGAAGAAACTTTAGATGTTATAAGTAACTGACGAAGAGCTTTAGGTTTTCTGAAGTATAGAAAGAGAAGTATTTTTCTGCATTGTATAGTCTATTGGTATTTTTGCATAGAGAAAATAATCCGCAGAAGCCTTTAGATTCAATGGTTCTCAGCAAACTGACTTTATCTTGTTCGACGTAAATAGTCGACATAGTACTTTGTCTGTATTTTGCTTTGAAAAAGTGAAGTAAAGTTAAGTATTATAGTGTATCAAAATTGAGTTTTTTTATTGATCATTAGCTCATTGTCACGCATTGATAAGGTTGCAATTTATGTGGGCTTATTGAAAATCTTTTCTTTAGTAACTAGTGGAAAATAATACAAAAGAAGACTGAAAAGTCAAGTTTTTTCATCGATTAATGGTTCAAAACTTGACTGTTTCTAATGTACAAGGGATAACAATATGCATCAGTTTTATCTGAATAAAGTTGAGCGACGTTCGTAAAAAACATAAGTAATAAAGATAACTTGTGCTGTTGCTAATAGTTTCAAAATTTCTGATCATAAGATAGCATAGTGTCATTGGAAGTCATGAGATTTCCTTCTAGATTTTTTTATGAATTACATCCATAAAAACTAGTTACTACAGAAACCAAGGGGGAACCAGCAGAGACTTCAGCCGTGAAGTCTCATGAAGTCTTGTAAGTCTTTTGAAGTCTTCTGAAGTCTCTTGAAGTCTTTTGAAGTCTTATGAATTATCATAAAGTCTCATAAAGTCTCTGAAGTCTTTGAAGTCTCTTGAAATCTCATGAAGTCTCATGAAGTCTCACGAAGTCTCTTGAAGTCACTTGAAGTCACTTGAAGTCTCTTGAAGTCTCTTGAAGTCTCTTGAAGTCTCTTGAAGTCTCATGAAATCTAATGAAGTCTCATGAATTCTTTTGAAAGTTTTGAAATACATTTAGTGCATGAAAATTCATAAGAAACCAATGAAATTGTCTTGTTTTCGACGATTTTATTTTAGCAGAAAGGTGAACTATTTATTGTTTTTTTTTCAATGTGCTGGAAAAAATTCAAGCTTGTTTGGCCTTAGTAAACGTAATAGTTAATAACTGAATCTTTTTGAATAAAGTGTTTTATTTTTATAAGAAATTTTTTATCTATCCAAATCAATCTGATGAAGAATTTTAATCCTTTTTGTTTGTTTCTATCACTCGTGATAATCTATCAGCCGATAAACGGCTAGCTTTGTCAGTTAATAACCAACAAGCCGTTTGCTTGTGTATAAATTTAGTCTTGTTATTTATTTGCACTTGAAAATAGGAGTTTTTCATTGCTGGATTGATCGAATCAAATATACGCATACCAGTAAAATTTATTTTCTCAGTTTTAATTTCATCAACACCTTGTGTCGTTGCCGCATCTTTATCTTCTTCATCCACATTGATTAGATCACTATTAAACTCATTACTTTCCATTGTTTCATCATCATAATCAGATTCAGAATCTGATGAAGAATCTGCATCCGTTGCCGAATAAGTATCCGAATTAATGTTGAATCTAATACTATCAAATATATTTTTACTTAAACTATTAAGTTTTCAAGCATTGCATTTCTTTAATGAAGGTAATATATTCAAATTACTAACTAGTTCTTTTGCACGATTAAATGCAGCTAAAATAATATTTTCACCATTATTTAATCCTCGTTGCTAAGGGCTGTAATGGGGGGGAGGGGGTATGTCTGTAATATTCTCTTTCTCCGTTGCTAAGTGTCTATAATGGGGTGGGGGGAGAGAGAGTCATCAAACCTCGAACTGAAAACGTACACTCACTATTTTCTTCGAAAATATACGTTAGTTCCACAAAACAGACTTTTGGGAGCAATCAATTTTCAATATCATTCCCGTTCGTGGTTCTCGGAAGACACTAGTTACTCTGTTATGAATAAGGGTGTCAATTTATATTTACTTTCCATTTAATTTACGCGTAAATTAAATGATAAATAATTTATATTTATTATAAAGTAAACGGTAAATGACACCCCTACTATTTGATAAGTTTTATTTTTTTTGCATGTTATAGAGGTTTCATGTAATTTGTATAAGATTTTTTGATACGCATGGAATCTGCCTCTTGAAGTCTTCTGAAGTCTTCTGAAGTCTTGTGAAGTCTTGTGAAGTTTTGTGAAGTCTTGTGAAGTTTTATAAAGTCTTGTGAAGTCTTATGAAGTCTGATGAAGTCTTATAAAGTCTCAAGAAGTCCTACAAAGTCTCTGAAGTCTCATGAAATCCGTGAAGTCTCATGAAGTCCCTGAAGTCTCACGAAGTCTGTGAAGTCTAACGAAGTCTTTCAAAGTTTTTTGAAGTCCCATGAAGTCCCATGAAGTCATACGAAGTCTTATGAAGTCTTGCGAAGTCATTTGAAGTCCTATGAAGTTTTCAGAAGTCTTTCGAAGTCTTTCGAAGTCTTGTGAAAAGATGAAGTCACAGCGAGTGAAGTCTGTTGAAGTCTGTTGAAGTCTTTTGAAGTCTTGAAGTCTTGAAGTCCGCTGTTTCCCCCTTGACAGAAACTAAACATACATAGAGATGGAGAGTTTCAATTACTAGATAGTTACATAATCAGGAAACAAATAACGGAGTAACGAAAAATTTGTGAATTTGTTTTCACGAATGAAAGATTTTTCTGTGAAAGTGACGAAATTGATAGAGTTTAATCAAGGGCTGTTGGTGTCGAGCAATGCGAAACTGTAATCGATCTATCGAAATGGTCTCCTTGATTTTTTCTTTAAAGAAAACCTTTTTTGAGAAAGTAGCGACCTTTGATTATTGTTGTGTTGCTCCATTAACGGTTGCCTAGTTACGTAACTGTCTAGTAATTGGAACTTCGCATTCCTATATGTGGTTAGCGTATGTAATAACTGGCTTTTGTAAATGTAATTCAGAAAAAGACTAATAGGTAATCTCATGATTTGCGATAGTAGTATACTATCTTATGATAAGGAATTCTGAAATAAGTAGAAACTGCACAAGTGAACTTTGTTACTTGTCTTTTTGGCAAAGGCAGCTCAATTGTGTTCGGATAAAATTGATGTAAAAGGTGTTCTCAGGTACATGAAAAGCAACCACGATTTCAAATATCAATAGGTGAAAAAAAAGCATTTTTCAGTTTTACTTCGTTTTATTTGTCCTTTATTTTTAAAGAAAAGACTTTGAATATACTCTCATACATTGTAACATTATCACTGCATGATAGTAAGCTAATAAGTCAATAATAACCTCAACTTTAATGAATTACCTTACTTTACTTTACTTTACTTTTTCAAACTAGAGTATGGTTGTGGGTCCCTGTTTCACGCACATCCATGTATGCCTACATCCACATCTATACTCACAGCTCGGCGTAAGACAATTTGAATCAGACTACCACACAAAAGTTGATCCCTGCATGCCCCTACAGCTCTTATGGCTATATTCTTATTATATTTATACAGCTGTTATACTTTATCTATGTTTAGTGTCGAAATAATCTTTTATATCTTTAGTTTCAGCATAGATACACATTCATTGAATTTTTTCTTTTGTTCTTAATTCTTATTATGAAGTAGTTTTGACGGAAATTAACGTTGAATACTGCTAATATATGCAATCATATAACAGCACTATTTATTATTGTCATATAGTATCATTCATACCATTTTAAAGTCATGTTTACAGTGGATTGTTTAATAAATAATATGCACAGTATAAAGTTTTGTTCAGAAAGTTGTTCATTTCAAAATATTTATGAAGCAACACCGAAATCGTTCATAGAAATTAATTTATAAAGCACATAATAAAGTACAAAGTGTCACATATTACAGATAAAAATGAAATATTTCATCCGACACATTCATCTTTATTAATGCTTAGAAATATTTACCTTTATTTTCTGCTTCAATAAGAAAAACTCTGATTTATATTTTTATTTTTGTGTTCTAGATATATACATCGAAATTAACTGCTGTACAACAAAAATAGCAAGCATATAATGCACACTGTATTCATCGCACTCATATGCTTTTTACCATACATTACAGCTCACCATTCAACAATATTACACTCAAAATATCGTTGGCTACGATTACCAGCAACTCCTAAACTTCCTTATCCTTGTATTGGTAAATATGCTACGATCAATAGTCTTCAAATATGGTACACAATCTGCGGTCCAAAAGATGCTGAACCGATCCTTTTTCTTAATGGTGGCTTAGTTACTAGTGATTATTGGGGATTTCAAGTTCAAGAGCTTAAATCATTTTATCGATGCGTATTGATGGATTCTCGAGGACAAGGTCGAAGTTTTCCAGTACCAACTAATATTACATATGATCTAATGATGTCTGATGTTATCGCTTTTCTGAATTATCTTAACATTAAACGAGTACATTTGGTTGGATGGACTGATGGAGCAATGATTGGTCTTAATTTAGCAATGAATCATCCAAATAGATTGCTATCATTGTTTGCATTCGCAGCAAATTATGTTCCTAGTGGTTTAAAAGATACTTCCACCTCGCTTGTTTTCAATATCTTCTTAGAACGCGTTCAAGCTGAGTACGGAGCAATAAATCAAGCCAGTGGCTATTCGAATTTGTTGAATATTTTAACAGTCATGTGGGCTACACTTCCAACTTGGACTCAACAAGATTTTCAAAGAATTTCTGAAACTTTGCCCATTTGGATAGTAGATGCTGACCACAGCGAAGTTAACTTTCGAAGTCAACCAAATGACATGTTTAGTTGGATTCCACAATCAAGTGAATTGATCTTACCGGGAACGAGTCACTTTGCATTTATGCAGGATCCCGTAGGTTTCACTACAATGGTGAAACGTTTTCTGGCTGAGGTCCATTGTCCAGGTTGTCCTTAGACAATATTGGCAGCATCAACGGCTTGAAATGACAATTTTAAAAACAAACCGGTTGATATTTTTTGAATAACTCTTGATAGAAACATGATAGAGGGCTTTAATTTTCACCATTGGTATAAAGGAAGAAACTCGTATCGAATATATTATAGAGTATCCTGCGATATGTTCTATCATTCTTTTTATCACATTAAAAAATATCAAAGAAAATCATTTTTTTTAACATAAGAAAAAAGCAAAAGATGATTTTTTTCCCACAACAATTTCTTAAAAAATCAGCTGGGAATTATATCTATAATACATATGTCTGCTCAATAAGGTGGGTGTGCGTGTGCGTGTATGGGTTTAGATGTGGAATGTCTCTTCATCCACATCCACACCCTCAAGTGTCAAGTGGCCCTGCTCAACATTGAATATAAATGAAAATAAATCAGTATCCATCATTTCAACTCTTGATATTAGACGTTAATGGATCACTTTCATACTTTTGATCAAGTTTAAGCTTTGTTACTACTCACGTAATTCATTTAAAATTAAGTTTAGATAATTGTGTTAGACGTGTACCATTTAATTTGAAGTTTGTCTCTACTCAATCAGAACTGAGCATGATGTTAGTTGAACTGATCAACCACTTAACAGAGATTCTCTCTTAAATGAACCGGACAATGCAATGTTAAGTCCATATTGAAATAAAGGAAAACTGAAAATTGAATTACCTTTCTTTAACACAGTCGTATTAACTAAATATTATACGCATTCAGTTTTAAGTCGAATAGCTTAAACTTAATATTAAGTATTAAGTGATTTATTAAGACATAATCGTAAGAAATTAATTGATGACTGCTGACTTATTGTTTCATCTCTATAACATACAATGAATGACTTCAATAGATTCAGATATTTCTGCACATAAGTTTCTTTCCTGTTATTCGATAAAATCTTTGTTTTGTTGCTTCGTAAGCCCATGGCTCTCGATTGTTTTTAGGAGTGGGGGGGGGGGGGGGGGGAGAGGGCTAAAATTTTTTGGCAGACAGTTATTTCTATTATTTTATTTTATATTGAATTTATAGCGGTTTATAACATCTCATCTATGGCGTATGCATCAGAACCAATACCTTGCTTAATTCTTGACCTTCGAAAGCTTTTTAACAATCTCTGTAATACTTAAATTATACAATGTGATGGAGTATTGGTTTTTTTGATAATACGTAGAAGTAGAAGATACAATACAAATCAATTTATTTAATACTAATATATAGAAGATAAAAGGTTGAAATTAACGAAAAATATCTGCACAAAACATCTTTTAAACAGTCTCTTCATCGAGTTCCAGTTCGTTATTGTATTCAGTAAAAGCGCTTATATTTCGACGTTTAGCTCTTTGAGGATTACTAATAAAATTGTCGATGATGAATTTTATAGCATCATCTGTTAAATTAACTTTAAGTGATGATACACTTTGATTAAAATCTCTAACGTTGAATTGCTTGAACCATTTCGTAACCATGACTTTATTCGTTTTAAAGTACTAAATGTACGTTCGGCTTCGTTCGATCCGATACCAAATGTTGCTAAAATTTGAAATAGCTTGTACTATTCTGGACATTGTTCACTTCCATGTTGTGCAAGACGTTGTGTAATGGATGTAATGGATGTTATATTGCCAACAATAGTAAGAAATGCAAATACATCATTTTTCAATTTTTGATAATTTAGTAAAGATGAATCAGTTCTTTCATATACTTGCCGATCAACAGCCGTATGTTTATATGTCATTGGAGAACAATATTGAATTATTAACGAATTTTGAAGTAATTCTTCAGCTGAAAACTTCAAAGGTGATGATAACATAGCAATATTTTTAATTAATTCTTGCGCTTCAGCATTAAATCTATCGTCGAGCGATTGAAGAAAGGGATTAATAAAGGTCTTACCTGTATCACGAAATTGTTCTTCATCGAAATCTGTCGCTATTGCTTGAATTTGAGAGCGTGTTGATCTAAGGGTTGGTTCCACTGTTGGTAAATACTTTTGAACGTCATTCAATATTTTTCGCACTTGATTAAAATCAAACATTTCAATCGATTGTTTAATCGTATTACGTGCAGCATCAACGTGAGTTACAAATTCATCAAGACAGGAACCCCTTTTTTCTATTTGACGCAAAAATTGTAATGAAGGACGTAGCACGTCATGCATAAGATGTATTTGAAAAACTACTTCAGGTTTCATTAAGTCAAATGCAAATCGTCTCGCATCCGAAGATCCATTTGTTTTGTGTTATGATATTGTTGAAAGTGCTATAACAACAGCTATGTAATTTGTGCATATAAAATGTACGAGCTCATATGCGTAAGACTAATGAGTGTCACTCGGCTTTGGCACACAATTTCTAGAAAAAAAGGAATTGAGAAATAATTAATATCATTCGTGACCTATGGATAGAAAAATATCACCTTTGTTGTTGCAGTTGATAAGTTTTTGACTTTCAGATAACACTTGAAGACGAATAGAACTGTCGCGTAGAAAAACCAAAGTTGAATGAACAGTATCATAAATATCATACATATAAATTTCAATTGCATCTTGAACACTTAAATTTAATAAATGTGAACGACAATAAATATATATTGCCCAGGTTGATAATCGACTACGAACGTGCCCTCGTGCCTGATAACTCATCGAAGACGCTCCATCATATGTTTGTGCTGTAATTATCAGTTCTTTGTTTGTTTCCTGCTGAAGACGTTCGATAAATTCTCGAGCAATGTTGAATACACCTAATTCAGTAACAAACACGAAATACTATACACATATTTAAATAAAGTATTTTACCTTGTCCACTTCCATCTATAACTGGCTTGAACATAAAAACTTCTTCTCGAATATTACCACTATCTTCTTCTACATATCGCAAACATAAACAAAGCATTTCATTAGCCGTTATATCACGAGTTTCATCCATAATGATATTAATATAGCGAGTTTTACGAATTGAAGGAGTTTGCAAATGATGAACATATTTATCAATACTTTGTAGCCATTCAGCTATTGCTTCCCAACTCCAATATCTAGAAAGAAAAAGTCACTACACATTGAATAAAAGAAATTCAGAACCCACCGTTCCTTTACATTTGAAATTTTAAACCAATTGACAACATCAGGACATTGTACATGATAAAGAAATTGTATCAACGTTTTGAATTTTACTAGTGCAATTTCCTCCTTGATAATATTCCAAAGAGTTTGAATAAGAATAGTAAGATATTTTCGTGTTTGAATGTCTAAATTTACACATTGTAATTGACCTGCTACATTACCATTAATCGAGACAATTTTTGATGCAATTCGTCGATCAGTGCGTGTTCGATGTAAATCGCTTTTTTTCTGTTCCTGGATCCCTAATCAGCAAAATGTTATTTAAATAATAAACGTGCAATGCAAGCTTCTGTGCTTACCTTCCAATCCTTTATGCTTTAACTTCCAGTATGGTCTTACAATGAATGCACCTTGGGACTTTTTAATAGCCGCTTCATCCGATGCAAATTCAGCACAGTCAATGCATAATAAACCATATTGATTATCTGTACGAATGGCACGCAGCCATGGATGATCTGTCAAAAACCATGCTGAGCTTGGTTTAGCTGACGGCAGATTTTTATTTGAATTCCATGGTATATCTGGATGATTACTACGTTGTTTTTGAGTTATCGTCATTTCATGAGAATTAATAAATCCGACACCTTTGATTGATGTAACAATATTATTGGATACATCTAACATTGTTTTTACAGGTGTTTGTATTAATATAGAAGATGAAGATTGATCATAATTATTCAGAGTATCAGCACTATTTGTTGTGGCAGAATTGATATTCAAAGAACATTCATTATCTTTAACAACTATTTCATAATTGTCTTGTGGCAAATGGTAATCTGAAGCAGAAGAAAATTCAATGGTAGTAATAAATTAATACCGTTAAAATATTTGTTCTCACCGCATTCATTTGAATCAAAATTTATATTATTTGTAGACGTTGTTGATATGATTTCGATTTGACTTGTTTCATGGTTTACTAGTAAGTATCAAAAGGTATTGTGTTTTAAAGGTTTGATAAATATTTCTTACTTAACTCTTCTCCAGAATTAACTGGAATGTGACTTTGTTCATTAATGATTACATCTTCAATATTGCAAAGGCGACTATGACCTTTTGACCAGATAACGAGATATAGGTAGCCTTATAGAGGAAGACTTCCTCTATCTAATGGTGTATGTATTATTAAGTTCTGTTGCGTACCAAAATTTTCGATAGATGGCGCCACATTTGCTGTATATTCTATAGTAGGCACAGCAAATGTGACGCCATCTATCGACAATTTTGGTACGCAGCAGAACTTAATAATACATACACCCTTAGATAGAGGAAGTTTTTCTCTATAAGGCTACGTATATATCGTTATCTGGTCAAAAATTTAGCTGTAAGGCATAGTCGCCTTTAGACTAGCGCATAGTGTAGTATGCTATACATTAGATTAGATCTAATACTGATATTTCTATTATACATTTAATTTTCTATTTGATGAATTCTATTTTTTATCTTTTAGATTTAATAAATTTTAGGTTTTATTTTCAGATGAAATAAATTAAATATTTTATTTTTTAGGTTAAATAAATTTTATTTTATTAGTTTTTGATTAAATAAATTTTAGCTTTTATTTTCAGATTAAATACATTAAAATTTTTATTTTTTAGATTAAATAAATTCTATTTTTTAGTTTTAGATTAAAGAAATTTTATTTTGTTAGTTTTAGATTAAAGAAATTTCAGTTTTTATCTTTTAGATTAAAGAAATTTTAGCTTTTATTTTTTAGATTATCACAAAGGATAGATGAAATAGTTAAGTATCAATTTAATTAAATGGGGATGTCCAATTTGACTGGAGGTCCAAATTCTTTTTTTTTCGTGCAGCTTTGATGATATATCGAAACAATACGATGATATATCATCGAAACTGCATGAGAAAAAAAGAATTGGAGACTCCAGTCAGCCTGGACACCCCAAGGATTAGTTTTTCTATTTTAAAAGAGTAGGGGAGAGGGGGCGTAGGTAGCAAAAGCTTGCATGAAAGATGGTAACAATCAACATTGTATACGATTGTGTACGATCGTTTGCGATGGTCGTATACAAGTCGTATTTCGTCGTATACGACACGACGATATACGGTCGTAATTCTGGCGTCAAGAAATACGGTCGTATACGATCGTAATTTACACCGTATAAGACAGTACACGATCGCATACGACGTCGTGTACGACCGGTTACGACTGTCGTAATGCTCGTCCTGGGCCAGAAAAACTGAAACCATTTCCTGCTGATGCAGCTTATATTAATATTGAAACAAGTGCTGGTATACAACGACAAAAACTTACGAAAATTCAACTTAATATTGATGAACATTGTTACAATGTCATAGCTTGCATTAATCACCCAGGTCGAACGATACGGTCCGTAAACGACCGTGTACGGTTACCTTATGACGCATAAACGGATCGTATACGGACTTAATATCGGGCACAGAAATACGGCCTTATCATAATGAGATTACGCCCCGTATACAGCCGTATACTGTGAAAATACGGCATCGTATACGGTGCCTTATTACTGTGCTCATGATTACGAGAAAATACGGATAGCCGTATCCATAGACCTGGGCAAGGAAGTTTATGCGTTCTTGGATTGGACATATTGAAGTATTACACACTTAATATTGATGGGGACAAAGCAAATATTCTGATAAAGAATAGTCTTAAACCAAATCTTGAAGAAATATTTACCATTTAACGGAAACAATAAACACTGTAGTATGTATAATAAAGAATGACAAAGATGTTTATCATTGATCTATTTCTGTTATTATTTGTGTCACACTACTTGGGTGTGGATGTGGGGTGTGGTGTGGGTGTGGGGTGTGACTGGGTGTGGTTGGGTGTGGGTGTGGGGTGTGGTGTGGGTGTGGGTGAGTGTGGGTGTGTGGGTTTGGGTGGGTGGGTGTGGGTGTGGGTGTGGGTGTGTGAGTTTGGGTGGGTGTGGGTGAGTTTTCAGTTCGACCAGACGTACATCCTTATCCACACTTACACTCACACTCACACCCTTTGCTCCTTTAAGTATATATAAGAATAGTAGGTCCGCAGCTCATGTGTTCACACATGATATGCACAACGGCATAGATCCTTTCAGTAGATGGTTAGCAACGTTTGCGTCGCGTTACTTGTATGTTAGGAACAAGCACATCCCTACTGTATTATTAATAAAAGTAGTAAAGAATGGTTCCAGAAACAAGCATTAATTTTCAAAGAACATCAACCAAATCAATTGTATTTTCGCTTAACCGAGGAAGATTTTACAAACGGTTACAAAGCGTAAGATAATTTAAATACATTATTTTGTGTTTTTTTCAAAACTTTTACCTCAATACATGTTTATTTTTTTTTTAAATAGTTTTATGATGGAATTAATTAAAAGTAAACAAAATGATGATATCACAAAAGAACTTATTACATCAAAAAAACTTGATCAATCGATGCTTCGTTTTACACGAATTTATCGAGATGAATCTGGTAAATTTCAACGAGATCAAATGGGTCAAGCATATTCTTGTATAATGAAAGAACGTAAGAATGAAATAGTTTTTTTTTTTCTTAGAAAAGGATTCAATAAAAATTTATTTTGTTTTTATAGATTATGGTGATGTTGGTGTTGAGTTTATTAGTGCAACATTTGGTTCAATGTGTAGTCCGTCAATTATAACTATTGTTCTTACAGGTCCTATTAAAAACGATGATGAAAAAACATTATCTATTAAGATTTCTAAACAAACAAATGATTGGTCTGTAGAAATAGAACAATTTATATTAAATGGTAAAGTTATTCATTTTAAAATGCCATTTTTTTAATATCCACCTATGAGTCATGTAAAAGCAAATATCAGTGTTTACTATGAGAATGAAAAAATTCATGAATCAATTTATCTATATATGAACTTTTTAGATGGTATGCATATCTTGTTTTTTTCAAATAGAATACTATTATTTTCTTAAGTACTCCTTCATGATCATTTAAATGAATCAATTAAAAATTTTGATGAGTTAATGACGAAAAAGAAACGTGGTCATGGTATGGTCAACAATACATCTTCGATGCCATCTAACTCACAATTAAAATCGAAAAGGAAATCTACAAAATGTTAAAGTAGGAAATAAGCTCAGAGAATGTATGAATAGATATTCTAGAGAAACGCTTCATCGTTCAGACAGCTAATAATATGTATAATAGCGTTTTATGCTTGCTTGTATCTTTCATTTTTAGTTTTATATATGGAAAACAACTTTAAAAAAAGAATTTGTTTTTTCTTTTTTTTTTAGTACATATTTATATGCTTGAATAAAGAAAAACGATTATTGATATATCAATCGTTGTAGTTTATGTTTTACCTTGCGTGGAGACCGAAGAAGGCGGTGACTTTCTTCAAATGTAGTTGATGCTTCTGAAGATTGTCGGTATTGTACGATATACTATATAGTTTTGGTTCACCTCCATGAGTTTTTAATCGCTCCTTTACAAGAAAAAGCTCAAATAATAATAATGTTTCTGTTATAGAGACAAGAAGTTCTTGGGTGATCCCAAAAGGATAAATCGTGCCATATTTTATTTTATTTGGGAGTGGATGTCGTCGACTTTGGCTGGGACCCGGACTCGCACCTTATAGATTCCAATCGTTTCGAGAAATATTTAGTTTATGCTAGTCATTGAATGCAAAAACCTAGAAAAAAAAACATCTTATAGGTTCGAGAAGGCTACAATTTCAATTAGATATCACCCTGAAATGCAATATTTTCCTCGTAGAAGCAATACGATGTACATAATAAAAGACGCCTTGAATTAATTAATTTTTCGAAAATTTGGAAGTTTAATTATTGTATTTATATTGAAACATAGTTATCTCTTTGGATTTTGAACTGAAAGCCTTAAAAGATGAAGACCAGTATTATATCTGATCTTTTATAACTCAAAGAATCTCATTTGAAAACTTGAAATCGTTCTGTTTCTTGTGAAAAGTTTTTTTTTTAATACAAATTATTTAAAAAAATTGGGATACAATAGAAGATCTCTAGAAACTCGATTCCGTTGAAGTTCGAATTCGAGTCAATCTCTTTTTCTCCGAAGCCTCAGTCGGAGTTGATGCAAATTATAGAAACTCCGAAAAAAACCTATTTTATTCTTTTTTCATGTACAATTTATTCTTGACAATGGCAATCTTTAGTTGATGGAAACTGTCAGTTCTATATCAAAATAACATCAAATAGAAAAATGGACCAGAACACAAAAAGTATCTATATCTGATTGACTTTCAAAAGTAAGTATTGCAAAAAAAAATCCGCGCTACTCATTAACTCTACTAGCATGGAAGTTTTCTTAACAAGTCGCTACTGATGAAAATTTTTCTGGAAATTATCTCAAATTTTACTTGTAATTAGTGTTTTTTAAGTACTAATTTAACCGAATTGTCTTTTCTTTTAATAAAATTTTGATTTTCTTCTCATGACAAGAACTCAGCACTCCTTGCGAATATATGTGATCGACGAAAAATATGTTGTAACAACGTATATGACATTCCATAGATATTTTCAGAGAACGAGTCAAATCTTTTCAGGATTTTAGATAGAAGTGACAATTTTTTTCGGCCAAAGTTATTTTCTGTCTATCTTCTATTGAACCAACAGATAAAATTCGGTAAAAGAAATTATTTTGCAAAAACTTGGTGGTTATCCATGAATTCATACTATAGAATATCGGAGTTTATCAAAAGTTCTGCCATCCTTGTCTGCATCACCATCAGTTAGTTCATGTGCTTTGTATATGTCATTCTATGACATTATCACTTCAATGGTAGTGAATTCTAGTCAGTAATAGAATCTTCAGCATGCTATAGCATACGCTGATGTTTTAATATTTGTATTGTTTCATTTAGTAATAATTTCGAAGAAACTAATTCTATTTTATGTCTTATTTAGTCAATTCTTCCAGATTAAAATCATTATTTTTCAAATTTCGTTCTATTCTTGAAATATTTCTATTTAGTTAATGTTTCTATGTCATGCTTGTTGATATACATATACACATATTTGATTTTCATTGTAGCATTTGCACTCTAAAAATCTTCGTTTTTAAAAATTTGTCTTTCTTTCTCAAGCATCTTGGGTATGTGTACGTGTGCGAAAAAAAAAGAACAATGGGAAAATGGAGACATAATGCTGTACATTCACATCGAACACAAAAAAAAAGAAGAAAAGCAACATGTAGAACAAACGAAAAAGAAAAAAAAATGTGTAATATGTGTATAATGAATGAAAAAACAAAAGAAAAATCAATCGATTAATGTTTAATCAGTATGCCCACTTCTACTACCACTAGTTTCATCGATAGTTAATGATGATTTATTTAATAATGAATCAATATTTGATTGATCTCTTTTACGTAGTGCTTCAACTGGTAATGAACGATGAGAAAATTCATCAGATGGTGGTGCAGAAAATCCACTTGTTGTTGTTGTTGTTGTTGAAGAATATTTATCTGTATTATGATCATTACGATATGAAGATGAACGACGATCAGGACTACGAGATGATCGACGTGATGATGAATGATCATGACTATTACCTCGATGATTACCACGAGGAAAAAACCGAGATTGACCACTACTATTACCACCACCACCACGACCTATTCAATAAATATGCATAATGAATTACAAAGAGATAAGAAAAAAAAGCTACCTCCTCTGTTAAAACCACCTCGATTTCGAAATCCTCCATCATTATTATCGGATCGACCACTTCGATCATTATTATTGTAATAACCTCGACCACTACTATTTCCACCACCTAAAAGTAAAATTTATTGATTTATTCCATATAACTTTATTTAAACTTCTAACCTCCTCTTCCTCGATTAGAACCTCTTGATATGGCACCAGAATTTGTTCGATCATTATAACCACCTCGTCCACCACGATATCCTGAATAGTTTCCAATATTATCTTGTGTTTGTGATAAATCTTCTCGTTCTTCAAAACGATTTGGTCGCCGTGGAAAAGGTGATTGTTTTTGATGTTCATCATTTTTCGTTGGTGTTGGTAAAAGTGGTGGTGGTTGCCCTTGTATCATACTATTTCCAAATTGATGATGATGAATACGTTTTGGTGATGGTGATTCACCAATTAATGATGATGGAAAATGTGTCGATGATGTTGAAAGATGAACTAATTGTTCGTCAGTTGATGATAAATGATGACGATGATGTTCATCAAAATGTGCTGATACTGATGGTGAAAGTCGTCGATGAGAATCATCACGAAATTGAATTAAAGTAGGACCTATGAAATAAATATAAAAGATGCTTTTTAGTTCGAATGAGAAATCATAACAGAATTTAATTACAAAGAACAAAAGTAATAAAACATGCAATTGGGAAAAAAATTAAAACAAAAATTCAATGTGCAGGTAAATTCACTACAAGTGCTATTTATGTTTTACCCTCAACAGTGCGAGCAAAAGTAGCAGTCGTTAATGGAGCTCCTGTCGCTACTGGTGCAGTAGTCACAAAATGATGATGAGTTGGTACAGCAGTTGCATTTGTTAAAAGATGCAAACCGCCGCCTAGAGAGTGATGTATATACATATATATATAATGACACATTCTTGTTTACACTTAATGTTTTTTCTCACAAAAAGACAAAAGCGAGTTAACAAGATACAAAATCTATTAATATTATTATCAGTTACTACATACCATGTGCAAATGTTTGTGGATTGAGATCCTGTAAAAAAATATATATTATTTTTATTTATTTTGATTAATAGTATTTTCGTTATAATTACTTTTAATTCGGTAGGATGATGTTGTAATTGTATAGGAGGTGGTGGTTGAGCAGTTGCAACTACATGACCATAAGGCATCTGATGAACAATCTGACTATTAGGAAATACTCGTCCTATTTTAAAATAAATAGAAAATCTACATGAAATAATTTATTTTCCATGATTTTAATTAACCGGCTATATGTTGAACAACTTGTACAGGTTGCCCATGTGGATGTTGTTGTACTTGTATAATTTGTGCACCTGGTGGCATCATTTGAACAGGTAAACCAACACGTATTGAAGATTCATGTGATGGTGCCATTAGAATTGTTGGAGCTGGCCCTAAACGATTTGATGATTCTAAATGAACAGTTGTTGGTCTAGGTGGAAGATTTGTTGGTGGTGGAAATTCTTGATGTGCAAATGATGTTTGGGAATGAACAAGTGGTTGTGTTGGTTGTTGATGAATTATTGGAGGAACATCAACACGCATTGGTGGAATAGTAGCTAGAATAAGATGATTTAATAAATTAAAATAAGACACAAAAAAAAACAGGAAGAAAAATAAAACAAACATTTTAAAAATGATGGCATTGATTCTTCATCAATGGTTCCACCTTCAGCTAATGCTGTTAAATTAGGAATATCTTTTAATTCTGAATAAGGTATATAAGTACAACCATGATCAGCATCCCAACAATCTTTAAAACGATCTTTTAAACCTTTGTTTGTTGCCCATGCAATCTTAAAAATAAAAGATACAAAATAAATTTCTATAAGAAACTGAATTTTATCTTATTTTACTTTAATTGGATTTCCGTGAAAATGAAAATCTTTCATTTTTTCTAAACATCTTGAAGCATCAGAACGTTCTTTAAAACAAACAAATGCACAACCACGTGGAGGAATATGCTATTTAAGACAACAAAAAAATACAATCTTTTGTAGTAATTTATATATAATTAGCAGATATTGCAAAAGTTCTGAAACAAATGTTCTTCTATTTTTATCTTCAAAGATAGATTTCTAACTGTGTGTTCGACACTTGTTAATCATGGGTTATCTTTGAGTAAAAAGTACATGTTTCAAAAGAACTTAAAATATAGTCTGTAACGGCTTCGAGATAAGAAACCCATGGAACGTTTCTTTTCTTATGCTCATCGCATTGAATAGTATTTCTCTATATTAGGCTTTCCATTCAATTCCGTGCAAAAAATACTATGACATAGTTTTAGATAGCATTGAAAAATTTAAAAGTGCAACTCTGTTGCCATTTTCCGGATAGATGCTGTTTTTGTATTATTTCATGTTTCAGTTACTTTCTCGACATTCACAGTTATCCTTACTATATATAAGCAATCTGTAGATTGCGACTAATTGAATCGGATGATGAAATAATGCAACTCGAATCTAAAAAGAGTTTCATAGGTCTTTGTTTTTCATGATGTCATAATCTTTTCAGCTTAGCTTTTAGAGAATCAAACAGAGAATTTAATAAAAAGAGATCAACAATATCTAATGATGTCAATAGGCGAAAATCAAACAAAAATATGAAAAGAATAATTTCTTTTGCAGCAATTATTATTGTGCAGTTTCTACGAACTACATTTTCATGTCGTTCAAACATGAACTTTGATATTCTCAATGAAATTTTCTGATTGACACTCAATAATCACTTCGAAAATACGAGATTTTTTCCTGTTATCTTTTTTATATTCAGCGATAATAGTACCTTACACATTCCTTGAATGACTCTACTTGTTACTTAAAAGCAATACGCAATTAGAAAGTACTTTCAACAAAAATCTTAAATAGGTATTTTCTTAATTTTTTCCGAAACTTGTCTTTGCAAACGAAAAATGGAAAAAATATTTGTCCAAGAAACTTTGTAACATCCGGTAATTAAATTTACATTAATATCGTTTATTTCTCCATGTGGTTCTAGTTGTTCACGTAAATCAATTTCACTAATAATTTTTGGTAAATGTCCAAGCCAAAGCGTTCTTGAACTGACTGCAAAAACAAAAACAAACAATACAAAAAAAAAAGATGTTTCATTAATGACATTGATTGAACTCACCAACAAGATGACCTTCTTTAAGTGGTGGTAAACCTTTTCGACGGCGTTCACGTCTTTCAGTGTCTTTTAAACGTGATGCAGCTGAATCTCGTCGATTCATTGAACTAAAAGATAAAATTTTCATGTGTAAAAAAATTTAATAAAACAAATTCTTTACTTTGATGATGAACGTGTTCGTTTTGATTCACGTGATCGAGATCGTGAACGTGAACGAGATCGACGACGATTATAATGATGACGTGAGGGTGATGATGACATACCATGATGATGATAATCGTCAGAATTATCTGCTTCCATATCTTCGGGACGAAGATCAACATCAATGGGCTAATAAAATGATAAAAAAAAAATAATTTTATTTTCAAAACTATGCTTCGTTTCTTGTCAAACCTGATGTAACATTTGACGATTAGTATCGTAATTTATTTGTTGCTGTGGTTGTGGTTGTTGTTGTTGTTGTGCAGAAAGTGATGATGGTAATGGTTGTTGAAAGAAGATTGGTGGTGGACGTGTTGGATCAAATGACATCGATATAGGCATATTATTAGCATCAGTTAAAGGAAATGAAACAGTATTTGCATGATTTGGATTTAATAACATTCCAGTCGGTGGCTAAAACGATTTTCTCTCTTTCATTTATAAAAAAATGTTTTCAAATGGCTAATTGTTTATGAATTCGGATTCTATGCATGAAGTTGACTCCAGTGTGACATGAAAAAAATCTAAAGAATAGACCCTTTCTTAGGCTTTCTGTTCAGAGTTATAAGCTTTCTATTGACCAATAGAGCAGTTCGTAGGCAAAATCTCAGAACAGAATATCGTCATTCGGTTTGTTGATATACACGATATTAGAGACTAAATTTCTGATAAAATGCCTATAACTCTGGACAGAAGACCTACAGAAAATTTATTTCTTGGAGTCTACCTTATGCATAACATTTATATTCAAAAACAACTGATCAGTTGAAAAGGTTCAATCATCAAATTAAAAAAATAAAATAAAATTCTTACTTGAAGAAAATGCATTGGTTGTTGAATATTATTAGTATTCGAAGAAAAATTCGATGAAACATTTGTAATTGTTTGTCCACGTGGTTCATCATCATCATTATCTGAACCATAATCAAAATCATCAAGTACATTCTGAAATCAAAAATAGAAGAATTATTTCAGAAAAAAAAAAATTTGCAATATGAATAATTAAATATACAGCAACGTTGGATTGCATTGGTTCAGCTGGATTCATAATTGATTGTGTTGTTGATGATGGTTCATCATTGGAATTATTCGTTATAGTGGGTTTTTTATGAGATTCTAATAATTGATTAGTTATTTGTTGAATTTCAGTTAATATTGATGTTGTATCTGAATCACCCTTAGCAGATGCACGCATTAATGTTTCTTGTAATTCTCGAAAACGATCAAAATCAGTACCACCGGAAGACTTCTAATGTAAATTATATTTATTAAAATAATCGATATAGGACAATAAATAAACATTGAAGAATTCTAATGATACTTCTTTTTGTCAAAAAAGACTTTTCTTATCTATGAATTTGTATGAAATATTAAGAATATAAACAAAATGACAATGATATAAAAGTCTTACAACTCTATCATCTACTAAAGATAATGTTTCATTATCTTGCATTATAAGTCTATGTTTCTGAAGTATCATCTGAAAACAAATATGATCATTTTGACAGTCAAACTTATTCAAACCTAATGAATTGTAAGCAAATACGTACGTCTTATTTAATACTATGAAACGATAAAAGTTGAAATCCTTGGAAAGAGTAATACAAGTCTTCTTTGATTATATTACCGAAAAATGAAATTTTAATAAATACATTCAATAGAAACATCAGATATGATGATTAAAACCAAACTGATGTTCGGAGCGACAGTCAAGAAGGTGATGTCTCTCCGAATTTTGGATTCTTTCCCACCGTAGTTTGTGGTTATTATACCACATACTGTGTGTCTATGCTTCCAAAACAATAGTTACTCGCCTTCTAGAAGATTTAAGGCGCCACTCCAAAGGAGAAAATCTGAATAAGACACTAATGGATATCCATTTTTATGATTTTTCAATTATTAAAAAATCGTTGTTGAATATCGAAACTTCTAACGAAATATTCTCATTCAAAATAATAGATCAAACAAAATATTTAAATCCAATGGAAAACCAAATTTTTTTTCTGACACAGAGTTTTCTATAATAACAAAAATAGATTTACTCAATGTTTTACTGGTAATCAACTCAGAAACGTTAATAAGAATCTAAATTGCGACTTGTATAGAGAATTTTATTGCCAGAAAAAACTTTCGAAGACGAGTATGACTTCTAGTTTTTCAAGGGTAGAATGATAGAGTAAACAAGTCTCCATCGAATGAAGCGTCTGTCAGATTCAGCATACAGTGGTGATCGTGCGACGATCTTACGCACAGCTTTCCACTGATCTAAGCATATAAGAATTAATAACGATGAATGCATGATAAAACTATGATGATCTTGTATGAATTTCGATTGTCTCGTTTGAGAAAGGCTTAGTTCTCAGGGTTCAGTCAGGTTTTATAAAATTGAGCTATTTCCTTGAAATACACCTTGCGCAAACATTAGTCTCTACGTGCACAACCTTGTTGAAAATAAAATACTGTATACAAATCTGGTCCATTAATATTGAGCGATACTCTAAATCATAGATGGTTAGACAAAAAGAAAATCTTTTGATAAAAGATTTCGAATTCAATAATTGATATAATTAGAATTCTAAAATGTTCATTTATTCTTCTGTATTTATGAATTAAAATTTTCTTACTTCACCACTCGGTTTATCAGTTGAAAAATCAGCTAAAATAAATCGATATATTTGGTTTTTTTGGTATGAACTTATCTACAAAAAAAACTATCTTACTTTTAACTGATAAATCATCCGTATTTACATTTGATTGATGTACTTCAAATAGTTGTTTAATTAAATCAGAAGAAAAAATAGAGTTTTTCTCCCATAAATTAAGTACACGAGAAATTTTATTCTATAATATTACAAAATAAAATTTTTCAAAATCAAAAACAAAAAAAAAACTCTCAAATAAAAATTTACTTTATCTTCTACTGGACATTTTTCAACATATTGTAATGTATTAACAATATTTTTTGCAAATCTTGATCCATAAACATCTTTATCAATTCCATATTGATGTCGAGATTGTCGTATAACAGAATCAATAACATATAAACCCGGAATTTTATATTCTGGTTTACACTGAAAAAAAAACGATAAATCTTTTATATATAATATCATTTGTTTTACTTTGCTGATAAATTTTTCAACATTCATTACAATATGTTTATAAAATTTAATTGCCTTTAAAGCTGCTTTTGTAATTGACATCATTTTTGCTTTAGATATTGGCGGACGAGTTTCAACCATACTTTGAAGCTAAATTTATTTGAAAAATTAATATCGAAATTTATTCTTATATTAATTAAACAAACCTCTCTAATAAATTCTTTGACGACTTCTTCTTGACTACCACCCATTTTTTTTTCTCTTTTTTTTTGATAATTATCAATTATTTACTCATGTAATTAAACACAAAATAAAAAATAAAATAAGTCCGATTGTTTTTTTTTGTTGTTGAATAGATGAAAATTATCTAAAGTGAAAACAAAAGGAATTAATTAATATTAAATATTATTATAATTATTAAAAAATTTCGACAAAAAAAGATTTCAACGAGTATGAAGGACACAGATTAATAAGCGAAATATTTTTATTTTTGTACACTTGATTTGAAGATTTCAATCTGAAAAATAAATTCATTAAATGAAAGATTAAAAAGAAAAACAAAAAAAGTAATAAATACAGAAAACAAAAAGAAATAGTTCATTGATATTTTGTTTTTGACGATTTGTCCTTGTCATCGACATTTGTTATTTCGAATGAATGTTGTTGATTTTCATCTGATGTTGATCATGGTTCGATTGATATCGTCTAAATCACAAGGCGTAATGTGTTTCGTATTTTTTTTTTCTTTTTATTTCGCTATTGATCTGTGTCCACTCGTTTTCCTCTTTTTTTTTTTTTGTTTTACAAAGAATTAATCCTTCTTACAAGTATACATATAAGGGATTTTATCGAAAACTTTTCTTCATGTTAGATACAAACCTGTACAATTTAGAAGCATTATTAAATGATCTTTATTTATTATTATATTCTTGCATAGAACTTTTCGATAGAAAATAATATGATAAATAATCTCAAAGGATTAAATAGTTTCTTAATTCATTTTTTTTTGAACTATACATAGGTGTCAATGAGAATATTATGAAGATTTATTTCAGAAGTTATGGTCATGTCATCGGAGTTAGTGGAAGCTTTTTCTAAAGCTCATCAGGTTCAAAAATTTTTGATTTGATGATCTCTCGTTGTTTGAGACATGTGTGGGATGCGTCAGTCACAAAACACAAAAGCTGGAAAAAAGTATCTCCTATCTTTGAGGTGCCTATTCAATGCTGATTAGAAAATTTCATTGATTATATTACTACTGGATTCGGATTTCAAAGACCTCTTATTTTCGTATCTAAAAAATGTTAAACTGTTTGCGAAGATTTTTACCGTTTTGAGAGACATTCTAACGAAGAGATAATTTCAACGGTTTCAGCTGTGCTTCTGACAGATACTCACATGAGGACACTTTCAGTACCTTCTTCTTTAAAAAAAAATAATGGGGAAGCCTGTTTTCGAATAGAATGATTTTGATATGATAATAATGAGAATATTTTGAGATTGTTTCCCTCAAAGATATAACCTGCTAAGTTCTGAACAATCATGTTTGACCTATTCAGTGAGAAAAAACGATTTTCTTACTCAGTAGATCAAGAATTCAACTAAAACTTCGAAATTGCATAATTGATTGTGATGAATTTGCGTTAGTCATCGACACGACATATAATAGAATACATAAACCGTAGATAGACATTTCAACAAATCTTCTTATTCGGTTCTGTTCCAAATATCAAATCAGATGTTGCATTTCTGAATGAAAAACGCAACTTCTGAAAAGCAATTTATACAGTCTTATCTTTTTAAGTACTACTGCTACTCAAAAAATGATTTCAAAAACTGCATAAGACGATTTTCAAACAAATCACTTCAACGATCTACAGAAAACTTCTGGGAAAAAAAAGTTTCAATGAAAAGAAACTAAATATGATGGAACTACGAAAGTAATTTTTCCTTCATGTCCTCAACTGAACTCAAATGCTACTTAGAAACCTCCTTACAAAAAGTAACGAAATATTATGCTTACCAATTATATGGAAGAACGTTTCTTTGTGATCAATTAAATACTATCGTGAGAAATAAAAGCCTGAATAGAAAAAAAAAACATCGTGTTGCAAAAACCAAACTCTTTTATTTAAAAAAAAATCAAACCATCAAAAAAATTTATCATCCTGAATCGAGGAATGTCGTAAGAAATAACTTGAATCGTGTTCTTCTCTTTGTCTTCTTCATAATCCCATCATGGAGAAATCGATAATTGTCATAGTTCTTCTCAAATGATTAAAATTCTCTATGATTTATTGACAAAAAAAAGATAGATCAACTATTAAACGTATGATAACAAAACTAATATTTTCAATAAAACTGAACACAATATCTTTTCTGTCGCTATCATCAACGTAGTATGAAAAGTTCAAGTAGCGCTTGTGGAACTTTTAGAACAATTACAATGAACCATTATTTCAAATCATTGTCCTCTTTAATACGTAACTAAAGAAATTTTTTAGAAAATTTTTAGAAAAAAGTTTATCTATAAATCGAAATAAAAACTAAATAATTTATTAAAATTTATATTTTTAATCTAGATGTCACTCAATATCAACGAATAAATAAAATAGAAAATTCTAAGTTAAAATTTCGAAATATTATTGTTAATAAGTGAAGATTTCGAACGTTTTTTTTCAGTTTCATAATTGCAAGAATCTTTCGATATATATGATTCGATCATAAAATCATCCAGTCTTGTATAATCACAGAAAAACATATTTTTCTGGTTGTTTTCGTTATTCGTATTTTTATTTTTATTTTTAAATATTTTAATATTATTGACTTTAGACATTTTTATATTATTTACTAGATGGCTGAATATGATCTTACTGCCAAATTAGGTCGATATTTTGATCGACATCTTGTTTTTCCATTGTTAGAATTTCTTACCGAACGAAATGTAATTAAAAAAAGAAACTGAAATTAATTTTTTTTTTTGTTTTCATATTATTTTTCTATTTAGATTTTTGATGAGAAAGAAATCCTTCAAGCTAAATATGACCTTTTACAACATACAACTATGGTTGATTTTCAACTTGATATTTATAAAAAACTTCATATAGATGGAAACGAACCAATAGGTTTTTTTTTTTACTTTTCTTTGGTTTCTATTTGATAGAAATATAAAACATTTGAAATTCTTTATTGTTTTAGAATTAATCGAAAAACGTGAAGGAATTGTAGCTCGTTTTAATGAACTTTCCGAAGCAGTTCAACCATTACTCGATGCTGTTGTTACAGAAGATGCAGCTCGACTTATTGAACATCAACGGTACTTATTTTTTTCTAAAGAATTTTTGTTAATTGAATTAAAAAATTTTATTTTTCTAGAAATAGTGATTCAATGTTCACATTAGATTACTTACAAGAAAAATTTAATGTAAGTTAGTTTTTGAGAAATAAAAAATATTCGTGAAACCATATGTTGTATAGAAGATCAATAAATGTCCAGATTGGACTATAAATAGTACTACGATAAACAATTAAAACGTCTGTGATTCGGTTCCCTTGAATGAGCAGATGTATGTTCAATTACTCGAAATATCCTGAAAAACTCATTTCAATAGACATTAGTTTCATCGAGTTACTGTTGAAAACAAAACAAGAACAACAGTTTTCCCTTATAAATGTTACAAGTTCAAACAGTATTTTTGACAACTAAATAATACATTTTTTAGAAAATCCTTCAATCTACAAAATCTTTACACATAATGTTTTCTGAATATACTTAGGTTTTTCAAAAAAAATTAGTTTATTCATTGTTAGCGACGTGAGTCAGTCTTATTATAAGAACACAAAATTCTCTTGTAACTTAATCAGATGTTCAAAAACCGATTGTAAAACGTAAAAATCCTTACTGATGGATCTCGAGATAATAATAAAATTAAAAGTTTCACTCTCAAATATGAATTAATAAGTCATTAACGGCTGTTTGTCTCGAAATACTTCGTCCGATAGCTTTTTGACTATGTTGTGATACTCATCTATCCTCATGTAATTAGTCACGTTGTATGAAGAGAGATCAAATGATTGAATGCATCAGGTAGGTCTTCTGCTTAAGGTTACAGCTAGCTAAAGTTGTAGGAATAATATGTGGCTAGTGAATCTGCTACTAGACAACATCCTACATTGCAAGGTAGCCGAAAAACAGCGGTATACTTTCTTTCTTGTAATTAGATGTAGTTAATTGTGAACTGCAATGAAATAATATATTTATATATATTCATAAAGAAAGAATTTGTTTACAAATAGTCGAAGTCAAATTGAAGATGATCATCTTTCGTTTTTGATAAGTTTCTCCCTATGTTGTTTAATAGTTAAAACATAATCTATGAAAAATCTATATTTCTTTAATTAGATTGAACGAAGTATGGTCAATGATCTTTATACATTTGCTCGTTATGTTTATGATTGCGGTGATTATTCTCGAGCTGCTACAAATTTAGGTCTTTATCGAGCACTTGTAAGTTAATTGTTAATTTAAAAAAAACAAAAAAATAACCATTTCTTGTATTTCAATTAAAAATTAAGGTTCCAAGTAATGATAAAAATATGATGTCATGTTTATGGGGTAAATTAGCATCTGAAATTCTTATGCAACGTTGGGATGAAGCTTATGATGATTTAAATCGTTTAAAAGATGCTATTGAAACAAATAGTTCTCGTTCATCATTAGAATTATTACATCAACGTACATGGTTTATACATTGGTCATTATTCGTTTATTTTAATCATCCAAAAGGTCGTGATGATCTTGTTCAATTATTTCTTGGTTCAACAACATCAACAACAAATCAAACAAATCTATATTTAAATACATTACAAACAACAGCACCACATTTATTACGTTATTTAGCTGCAGCTGTTATTATTAATCCAAGAAAAAAAAATGAACGAACATTAAAAGAACTTGTCAAAGTTATTCAACAGGTTAAGAGAATTCTTACACAAAAGAAATTATTATTGTTTTTATTTAGGAATCTTATGCTTTTCGAGATCCAATTACAGAATTTCTTGAATGTCTTTATGTTCATTTTGATTTTGATGGTGCACAAAAAAAATTACGTGATTGCACAGCTGTACTAAATAATGATTTTTTTCTTGTTGGTTGTGCTGAGGAATTTATGGAAAATGCTCGTTTACTTATATTTGAAACATTTTGTCGTATTCATCATTGTATCAAAATTGAGTAAGAAATTTTTTTGTT